CAAAAAAAAAGTTAATCCAAATTGTCTTTTCATTTCAAACAACAACAACAACAAAAAAATCTACTGGATTTACCCGAAAAAAAATTCACTGTATGAAATGTGTGGTATATCATTGTTGTTGAACAAAATTTAGAGCATAACGAATGAAACAAATTGGTCTTAAATCAACACTCTCTCTCACTTGTTACTTAGCCAAAAAAAAAAAATAAGTTAGTTAGTATTGCACCGTTCACATATAATGATAACCTCGATCACATATATTTAAAAAAAAAAAAAAATTTTAAACAAGTATACAGGATACATTTACAAAAATAATATTTTCTATACAAACTTGTTACACCATATAAATTCATATGTCCTGTGTATATTTTGAGTGTGTATATCTAATCTCTAAATCATGTCACATCGGACAAAAAAAAGGTGAAGAAATGTGGAAGGGAGTGGGGGGTTGGCGGTGAAAAACAAATATATCAATGACACATATCTGGATATTATTCAAAAAATTTAAACTAATGAAATAAATATATAAAGATCATCAAGATGTATATAAGATGAAAATATTTTTGATTCAACATTTATATTGTGATGAAATATTGACATATCAATCATATAGATTAACAACAACAACAACAAAAGATGGAAAATTAAATTAAATTTTCAAAATTTAATTCAATTTGATTGACTCCTTTGAGGATAGAAAATGATTAATTTGAAATTTCAGTGATCAACTACATGGTCGACAATAACAATATCAATGCACGCACGCACGCACGCACACACGCACATATATGGGCCATATGAAATAATGAAAAAAAAGAGTTCCAAAAGAGTAATGATACTTGTTTCTTGCAATTGAATGACAATGTTTTTTTTTATTACAATGAACAATTTTTTTTGGCCCATCAAATCGATGACATCATCAACATCATCATTCGTTGATGATTACACAATTTATATTCCACTATACTATCACTATTTGTTAGTGCCACCAACCGAGAGAAATTCGATGAAAATAAATGAATGAATGATATGGAAAAAAAAAGAAATTTAGATTCAGTTTTTAGTTTCTTACGACAATTTTCCATTGAATTCAAAGCTAACGGCAATAGTTTGACAAAAAAAACTTGCCGATTCTTGGAATCGGTTGAAAATAAAAGACCAAAATGATAAGCATCCCCTCATTTATTTAAAAAGAATGATTTCATGAGTAAGGATGCAGTATGGAACGAACGATTTCTTCTCGTCACGCATCCTTTCTGACGACTTTTTTTTTCTTTTTCACATCTTTTTTGCATTGTCTTTAGACCAATAACAACAACACTGATGATGAAGACGACGACAACGACAATAATGGCATAAGATGAACATCGTTTTGTCGCGTGTGTATGTATGCCTGCTTTCAACGATATTTGAAAGTTTCGAATCAATAATGATAAAAGCATCAGCGACAACAACAACATAGACAACTAAAATGTGATCCAAATGGAACATATAAAGATATATGATTTTAAAGTCATTTTTCATCACTGAAGCCCATCATCATCATCATCATCATCATCATTGTTGTTGAAAAATGAAGAAAATTTTTTCTTTTGATGAAATAATGGAAAATAAAAATATTCCAGATATTTAGAAGCAAATCGAATCGATGAAATTTGCACTGAAAAAAATTCAATGATAGAATAACGGGATTAAAGATGGAAATAATGAAAAAAAATCGATATATAATGACCATTCCATTCCATCCAGATGAACATTGATTCCAATCGATGGATGTGTGCATGTTTGTGTGTGTGTGTGTGTGTGCAAAGTTCAGATCAATTTTTCCATAGAAAGGTGTGCACATAATCACCATTGTAATTGACATTTCGATTGTGATAATGGCTCAATTTTGTTTGAAGAAATGAGAAAAAAAAAATTTGGATTATTTTGTTCATCAAAAAAAAACTATACGATGGACACATACACCATTAGCTGAATAAATCAATTGAATGATTCAAATTCAAACCGGATGGGGATCATTAAATTTCAAGCCCATTTTCTAGACAATTGACGACACAACAACAACAACAACAACAGATCAAGTATACATTCATCAATAATGTCATGCCTTTTGATATAAAGGAGAAAAAAAAAGATTCATCAAATCGATCAATCAATCATCGATTGTTATAGCCTTTTTTTCATCATCATCATCGTTTATGAACAATTCTATCCATTTCATTGTCGATCAAAAAGGAGAAAAAAAATTAGTTGACATGCCATCATTGGCGGATCGAATGGATTGGAAATCTCGTCATCATCATCATCATCATCATCATCAATACATTTACAGACACATCATCATGAGCCAAATACAGAGATCAATCGAAATGAATATTGTGTGTGTGTGTGTGTGTGTCGAAAGTGTGTGTATGTTCATTTTTTTTCATACGAAACGTGATCCTAATCGTGATTTGTTCGTAACCTCGATTTCTTCAATTTCCTTCAGCACACACACACACACAGAGAGAACTTGACTAAATGAAAAAAATAAAAGAGTTAAGTATCAATTATCTTTTATTGAATACTTTCGATCTTTTCTCGAAGAAAAACGAAGAAGAAGACGAAGAAAAATGATTTGATGGATAGTCACACACAACACACACACACAAACGCAAAAAATAAAAAGAAGAAAAATCAATTTCGATTGACATCGATTATTGACAGCCATTATATATGTGGTCTGTACCTGTAACAATGAACAATAAATCATCTAATTATCATGTTCCTCTTTTTTTATATTCGTTCTAATTACGATAGAGATAGATACATATTTCGCAGGCTCATCATCATATAAACAACATAGATGACAATTGTTGCAAAGTTTTTGTCTGTTGTTGTACTGGGAAAATAATTAACATGATGATGATAATGATGATTAAGCAAAAAAAATAAATGGTATGAATATAAAAACGACAAGGAAGGATTTTGATGAGCGACAACATTAAACATCAAACGAGAAACGAAAATAATCATCATCATCACATTCTCATCAGGACATTGAACAAATATAAAAAACAAAACAAAACAAAAATTCAAGCCAAAAGGTTTTTTTCTGTTGATATAAAAAAAAAACAAACAAAACCCGGAAGAATTTTTTTTTGTGCCTAGAATAGAATGAGATTGCTTTTTGTTTTGTTTTCATTTTCTTTTTTACCGAATTTTTTTTTCTTTTTTCGTATTGTAAATTAATCTGGTTTTAATGATTAAAACTTTTTTTGTTTTGTATACAAAGAATTATGAATATTTGTAACGTTGAACCAACCAACCAATCAATCAGAACGTCATCATCATTATCGATGTATGCGAAAGAACAATGAACATGATGATGATGAAAAAAATCTCTCTATATATAAGAATCAACGAAAGTTTTGGTTACTGGTTGAATGTGTCTGTATAGAATGGATGAATATATGGACATTGAACCCTTTTCCCATCCATGCTATTAGCATGTACGTATTGGTGTGAAAGTGATATAGAAATATTTCAATCTGATTCCATTCAAGATTCTATTAAACCAAAACAAACAGACGCACATAGAATATTCTAGCTTTAGCTTTATTGTTTATTGTACCAATGAATCAATGAATCTGTCTTTTTTGGATTTCCGGTTAATATACTTGTGTTATATATATAACACACACAACAACAAACAAAAAAAAATGACCAGAACCAGAAAAAAATAATGAAAAAACAAAAAATAGTAACAAATCTAAACAATGAGAATAAAAGAACAGAATAAATCGTTGCCAACAACCATCAAGAGAAAGAAAGCAAAAAAAAAAGAAACACACAGTCAGATTGCTACAGATTAAAATGATAAAACAAGATTCTTATTTTCATTTTCTTTGTTCGTTAAATGTTTATTTCATTCTTCGTTGCAAAGATTTAAAGCAATCGTTGTTGGTGTTTGTTTTTCATTTTCATTTCATTTTATTTCTTTCATTGAATTAAATCCCATACAATACAAATATAACAGATATATTAGACATAGAGTTTCAATTCTTTGAACAAGATTTACTTACTTATATCGACAACATTCATTATCTAATATTGAAAATAAAAAAATTGAAACTTTCATCGTAATGTCCATCATTGTCTTTGTTTAGTGGCTAGATTCTTAACTCATTCCAATGTCTTTTGTTTTTTTTGGCTACAAACACATCTAATCTACACATTATAAGAATGATGGTGGTGGTGGTGGATAAGAGATAATTTTTCATATAAAATTTCTATCCCATAAAGTTGGATTAGATTTTGCCCAACCATAATACAATTGTGGTTCCGGTTACACAGTTAAATAAAAAAAAACAAAACCAAATCTAAACGACATATAAAACGAGCAGATTTATGTGTGGAGAGCCTATATGGTTAGGCCATGGGCTCAAACTATTAGATTGTTCAATAAATATTCGATACAACGAACAAATTCGAAATCGAAAAATATAACACCAGATGTTTTATTTTTCATTTTTTGAGGGGGGGTGGGGGTGGTCTATGTACTAGAATTATACAACATTGCCATTGTGTCGATGATGCAAAATGACACCATCACATAATACATTGGATGGCAAAAAATAGTGAGTGAGAGAGTGAGAAAGCTGGTTGTATATCTGGCTGATTTGTTCATGATTGTTGAAATATATTTCAATGTAAAAAAAAATTTTTTTTCTCTTCACATTGAACTCTAAAGAAGTGCAAGAAGAAGAAGAAGAAAAAAATTTCACAAAAGAATAATAAAAAAAAAATTTTCTTTTTTGTCGTTGTTCTTTTTTTTTATTTCTTCCTATATGCCCTAATAATTTTTAATTACATCATCTTTTGTGTACCACACACACACACACACACACATTCTTATATACAAAAGCTTTTTGTGTTTTGTCAATTTTGTATGTGTCTGTAACTTGTTATCAATCATCAGATAATAAATATTAAAGAAAAAAAATTGGAAAACTTACCAAAAGAAAAACTTTTCGAAAACTTTTCCAATCAATCGATTATATGGTAAAATGTCGGGTTATTATTTGACGTAATGTATGTGTTCCAATATGAGGCAATGAATCATTTGATTAACACAAAAACACAAACACACACACAAAAAGCAGACATAAACATAAACATACAAAAAAAAAATTTTTTTTGGGTGGAGATAAAGATTTCGAATCACCAATGATTATTATTATACATATGATGATGATGATAATACATGGCCGCCGTTTCTTTTTCTTTCTTTCGTTTTTGGATCAAAACATTCAGTTTGGTAATATGAAACAAAATTTCCAACCGACACCAAAATATATGTGAAAAAAAAATTACATGTACACGAAACAGACACAAAATTATTGCATTAAAACTCGAAAAAAAAATTATGGAATGAAAAAAAAAAAGAAAATTGGAGCAATAAATTATTGTTGTTGTTGTTGTTGTAGTTTTTTTTGTTTGGAGCGGATATGGACTACGAACAACAACAACAACAACAAATAATTCTTTTTTTTTACTATTTGACGATGTTGTTGTTGATGATGATGATGAATGAATGGATGGATGGATTGGATGGATGAATCAGTTCTGAAACTAACTGGAAAAAAAGAAATTAAATAGAAAAAAAAACATATGAAAAGAAAAAGATTGATGAAACGTGTATCATTTATTTTTTTTCACAAGTTCAAATTATATTCAGTAATCGGCAAAAAAAAAAAAATATGATCAAATCTTGGCCGTAGTCTTGGTGATTTGGGCGGTTTTCATAATAATAATAATAATGATCGTTTTTATGTGTTTATGAATGAATGTTTCATTGTTGTTGTCGTTGTTGTTGTTGTTGTTGTTTATTATTGTTATTGTTTCTGGAACATGGTTTTTCCGAAAACTTTCTTTTGAAACATTTAAAATATTTCCAGAAATATTTTTGTTTTCGTTTCTATTTTTTAATTGATTTTTTTTTTTTTTACTGGCTGTTGTATATGTCGCTATAAAACATGTGTATCTTTTGTTGTTTCACCACATAGAAATACCACTTACACACACACACACACACACACACACATATATACACCCAAATAAACATGGAACATGAAATAGGGTCGTTGTCGGTCGACTTTTGGGAAACCAAAAATGTTGTGGAAGAGGCAATGATATAAACTATATGGCCACATGGAAACTACAATTTTAGTTGAATGAATGAATGTTCCAAATGGAACACACACATAAACAGACACACAAAACACATACAACAGATATAACAGAATATATCTATCTGAAAAAAAATTTATATGATGACTATATATACCCAAAATGGATGATGATTTAGATGAAATTATTTCAAAAATATCATCATCATCTTCAGGATGGTGATCATATCCGCGTGCGTCGGGTTATTATCATCATCATCATCATCATTCTTTTCCGCACTTTTTTTGATTCAAATACAAACATCATACATAACACACACATCACTTATATTAGCAACAAATATACGGACACTAACCATAGTTGTTGTTATTGTTGTTGTTGTCGTCGTCGTCGTTGTTCAGAGTTTCTTGTTGAATGATCGTAGCATATGTGTGATGATGATGATGATGATGACGATGATGATGTTATCCGGGCGTACTTTGAACTCTCATTTAGTTTTCTCTCACTCTTGTGTTAACCATATATACGAATGAAAATCTTCAAATATACTATACTATACGATGTGAAATCTCAGCTAATATAATTAGAAAGAAAAAATACTTTCTCTTTTTGATTGTTGTTATTCAAACATCAAACATACGAACACACACACACACACACACAAACATATTCACAATTTCATTCACCAAATATTCAATGATGTGGATGGTAAATGATGATGTTTGCCCGTTTGGGTTTTGATGTCGAAGTTAGACAAGCCACAATTTTTTTTCTTCATCGTTTTTTTTGGATGTTTTTTTTTCTTCATTTGGGTGTAGGACCACCATTTCATCCCAAATGAACTACTACTGTTGATTCGTAACTATGGATAGATGGATGGATGGATGGATGGATGGATAGCTGGCGCAATGGGAAAGCTTGTTTTGGTTAGTTAGTTAGTTAGTGACAATAACAGAAAAAGAGAATGAACACACATACAGACACACTTACATGAATGGATAAACCATACTGCTGCATGAAGTAATTTTGAAGAAAGGCAAGAGAGAGTAAGATAATATCGTTCAATTCGAAAAAAAAAAAAAAAAAAAAAAGACAGAAGAGACAACAAAGATGACGAAAATTTCATTTAGTTGGATAACAAAACATACAATGAATGAATGAATGAATGAATGAAGAAAAACTAGAAAAAAAAGAGAAAAAAAAATAAAATAGAAAAATCACGAAAAAAAAAGAGAATGATCATTATTATATTTAGGTGAATCGAAGAGAAATGATAAACACAAGATTTGCTACTGGAAAATAATAACCATCCCGATAGAATTCAAGGTTTGTCAATTGTCAATGTAATAGAACAAATGATGAATTTGTCGATTCGGATTGATTGTATGGATAGATACAACACAAACATAAACAGAATTTGATAGTAAATGTCATCAAAGAAATAATTCTTAAAATATCTTTACACATTCATTCATCTAAATATTTGGGTTAGCTTCGAATCGTTGTTGTTGTTGTTGTTGCTGTCACTGTTGTATCCAAAGCTCCCAAATGTAATATTGTTCCTGAAACTTTTTTTTTTTTTTTTTTTTACTCAAATATTTTGATAAATATGTGTTTTAGTCCAATGTATATAAAAGAATATTTATAAATTCCAAAATATACACTGGAATTGTTTGTTTATTCATGAGAAAGATGTTTTCATTTTTCGTTGGAAAAAAGTGTGTATCATCATCATCATCATCATGTTTCCATCATAAAGTTTCAGATTCAACAATGAATATTCACTATATGATAGTTGATCCAAATGATGATGACGATGATGATGATGGAAGACAAAGTTTACACAACATAAACATTTATATATATATATATTGATATATTTAACCAAGAAATATTCAGCTACATCTGTATATACACATTACAATGTTAATAAATAAAGAGAAAACTTTATTATCAAACCATTATATTCATCATCTATTTTCCTATTGAATAAGTGTTTCACAATTTACTTAACATTCAAACACACACACACACACAAAAAACGACAACTATCGAATGGTCCAATGATTTTTCATATGGATCATCATTATAAAAATTTATTGTTTTTCATTATATTTCTACAAATGATGATGATGATGATCTTTTTTTTGTCTTTCTAATATATAAAAAAAAATAGAAAATAGAAAATCGGTGATTAGATTTAAGATTTATGATGGATAATGATGGTAGAGTATTGTTTCACATATATAAATCCAATTCAAAAGTTGAGGAGTGGTGATGGCATTGGTGGTGGTGGTGGTGGTGGTGGTAGTAGGGGTAGGTTTATACTATTCATATGATTTCATTTTCCGTTTAACAGATCAGTAGAAAAAAAAATACTAGACTTTCATCATCATTAAAAAAAACTATCTTTCTATGAATGGCTATAATTGGCAACAAACAGCAACGACAACAACAACAACAAAAAGATTCAAAAGAGCCTTTTATGGCCTTGATGTTGATGATGATGATGATGATGATGATGAACATCATTATTATTAACTATATATATATGCTGTTTGGCCAACGCCAACTGTCCAAATATCCATCAAAAAAAAAAAAACTTTCGATTCTTGATTTCGAAATAAATGTCGAGGGTAGTGACCATTCATACATTCATATACACCAGAATAATATAATATAATATAACCAAGAAAAAATAAACTTTGATAGAATCAACAAAAGCGAAATGGTAAAATTCATCAAAAGTTTTACTATATAAAACGATAATCTTCTTATGATTTAAGGACAATGAATGAAAAAAAACTGAGAAAACAATCATTGATTGCATTCTGTTGTTGTTGTTGTTGTTGTTGTCAGTGTTGGCGTTTTTTTAAATTTATATCATCATTTTAAAGTTTTTTCTCTTGTTTTTTCTCATTTTCTATGTCTAAGAATAAAATTAAAAAATCAAATGAATGAAAATGGAATACGCGATTGCAGAAACAATACGTATACGTAAAATTGAATCTGAATGAATAAAAAATATATAATACCGATTGGCCTCTTTCACTGTTGTTACTATGGTATGAAAAATTATCCTTGATTTTTTTTTTTTATTGACAACAACATAGAGAATGATTGAAAATGAAAATGAATGCATCATAGACAATAATTATGATTATGATGATCATTTAGTTAGTTTTCAAAATTGTATTGTAGTTGTAAAATGTGTAAAAAAAAAAAAATTTTACGGACGTTACGAATGTTCATTTGATGATGATGACCACGAAGATAATTTAGACTACTACTACTACCATTGTTTTCTTTGCATTTGTATATCATAAATATTCATTTCAAAGTGAAAGTTAATCTTGAAATGATGATGATGATGATGATGATCTTGAAAATTGTTTTGGATATTTTGTAATATATTTGATACGTCAAATGATGATATTTTGATCATCATTGAATATTATACGTTGATGTCTGTAAAAGAAGAAGAAGAAGAAGAAAAAAAAGTGAAATGAATATCAACATAGGCATCATCATTGAAGGAATGGAAAAATAAAATGAAATGATAAGATGATTATATATGCACGTATAATACCAATCATTATTGACACATACCATTTGTGAATCGTTGATCTATGATAATTTTTTCCACCAGTACCTGTTTTGTAATGAAAATCATCATCATTGAATGTCATATATCGAATGAAAAAAGATGATCAAATTCATCAGGGCATCTTTGGCCATGGCCAACATTTTAGAAAACAAATTCATATGTAATTGGTGATCAAACAGATGGTCAAATCATTCATAATCGTATATGGAAGTTGTAATAGAAATAAACAAAAAATGATGATGATGATGATGATCAAATGATTGATTAGATTGTTGTTGATTGATAAACGTGTGGCCACAATATGATCGAAAATTATCTTTTGTTCTTCATTGACATTCGGATTTGATGATCGATGGATCAATTGTTTTTATTTTATTTTATTTTTTTTCTTGACCATTTCGATTCAACAATTGACCAACGATTTACGATGATAATTTTTTTGCAAAATGAAAAATACACATATTTCGATTGCCAATTTTTTTTTATTAAAGATGACTTCCGTAGTGGTCATCATCATCATCATCATCATTTATGGCTACTGCATACTGAATAAATATACAACGATTATTGATCAACATATTATATTTGAATCGTTTGAAGATCATATCTATTTGTCAGAAATAATTGTTCAGATTTGATGATGATGATAAAGAAACGAAAAAAAAATATCTCTCAGT